TACACTATGTTTAACTGCTCTTTCTAGTGTCTGTATCTCTTGGCCTTCTGTATTTTCCATCTTTTCATCTCTGAATAGTGGATGCTGATTAATTTCTTCAGCTCTTCAGGTTTATTTTTTTTCTTCAGAGTATCTAATCTATTTACCTATTCAGAACATTTAAAAAATTTCAGTGCCCATTTTCTTTTTTAGGACATCTGTTTTTCTCTCTCTTTTGTTTGAGTTTTATTCTTTTATGTATTTAGCAATTTTAAATGTACTTACTTGAAAGAGTAGGGTCACGTAGTTGCTAGGGATCTCATTGTATTGCTTGTTGGGATTTGTGACTGTTCATCATACCGGACAATTTCCTCATTTGATTTATATTATTGGATTATGAGCTCATTTTCAATGATATTTTTGCATGTGAGAATTATATCTGATCAAATTTGAGCATATGTTCTCCAGAGTAGATTTGGATTTGTTTTGTTTCCTAGAAGCAAACAAACTGACCATTCTGGGGCCAATATTTATGCCACTTCCTCAGCCTGAGAACATATGGAGCACAGAAGGAATGTGAATTAGAATCCCAAATGCTGGAACTTATGTGACCTAGTTATTGAATTTCTATAGAAATTTTTTTCACACATCTTTTGCAAGTCAAAATAAATTAGATGTCTTGTCCTTCTTAGCTGTTGGGCAGATTTTGTAATTCACCATTTTATTTAACTATTTTGGGGGCGGGTTTATATAGGGCAGTCTCTCTTCAAACTCCCTACCTCCTGAAAGTTTGAGGTCTTTTTGTTCTCCTGTGTATTTTAAAATGTGAAAAGCAACAATTCTCCAATCCTGTCACAGCTCTAATGCTTATCATTCTAGTAGTCAACCATTTCTTAAAAGAGTGTTGGTCCCTCAGAATTTTTTATGAGTTTTTATGTTTATAAAAGTTACTGTTACATTTTAAAGAATTTGTAAAAGAAGAGTTTTTAAGTTATTAATCTCTGTATTCCCAAATTAGAAGCCTATCCTGATTAAGAAGGGTAATTTAGTCTAGAAAAAAAGAATAGTAAGCAGTATTCAGAATGTTCAGAACCTTCAGAATGTTCTTTTTAAAAAATACAGAGTGGCCTCCCCCTTTAACTTCAAGTTGTCTTAGACTACATGTACCCAGGGTTTTTTTGTTTGTTTTTGTTTTTTTAGTTACCTATTTTCTAATTTACGTTTAACCTGCTATAATTATTTCCTCAACTTTTTTTCTATTGGGATATTATTTTATTGTTTATTTTGCAGCACTGGGAATTAAGCTCAGGGCCTTTGCAATGAGCTACATTCCTGGCCTATTTTCTTTTTTCGTTTGAGGGAGGCTCTTGCTAAGTTACCCAGGCTGGGCTCAAACTTGTGACCCTCCTGCCTCAGGCTTCCATAGTGCTGGAATTTATGGATGTGCACCACCACACCTGGCTGAGACTATTTTTCAAAGGATACTTTCCCTGCTTTTATAACATATTGTAGTGGTTAGTAAGTATTTTGCTATATAATACATTGTTGGCCTCTCTTTTTCTTAGGTTTCCATTAAGGAGTTTAAATATAATCTCTAGTGTTGGCCTGCATTTCTTGCATTATTAGGTCTCCCATCTGATAATA